GTACTGACAGAAAGACAGACATATGGACCAACAAAATAGAATCATTAGCCCAGAAATAAACCCTCACACATATGGTTAAATGATTTTAACAGGGGTGCCAGACAAGGCATGGTGATTTATACCTGTAATCCCAGTATTTTGGGAGGCTGAGGCAAAAGGACTGCTTGAGCCCAGGAGTTCGAGAATAATCTCAGCAACATAGCACTATCTTGTATCTATTTCAAAATAAAAAAAATAAAACGATGGTGCCAAACCCATTCAAAGGGGCCAAAGGACAGTCCATTCAACAAATGGTACTGAAAAAACCAGATAGCCACATGTAAAAGTGTGAAGTTGGACTCTTACTGTTACGGTCTGGATGTTTGTGTCCTTTCAAAATTCACATTCACATCTAATCCCCACTGTGGTAGTATTAAAAGGCAGGACCAGGTCGAGTGCAGTGGCTCATGCCTATAATCCCAGCACTTTGGGAAGCTGAAGTGAGAGGACTGCCTGAGCCCATGGGTTGTTCAAGACCAGCCTGGCCAGGCTCGGTGGTTCAGCCTGTAATCCCGCACCCTTGGGAGGCTGAAGTGAGTGGATTGCTTAAGCCCACAGGTTCGAGACCCGCCTGGGCAGTGAGACCTCATCTCTACAATAAACCAAAAAATCAGCTGGGTGTGGTAGCGCATGCCTGTAATTCTGGCAACTTGGAAGGCTGAGGCTTAAGGATCACCGGAGCCCAGCAGGTCAAGGCTGCGGTGGCCGGGAGCAGCCACTGCACTCTAGTCTGGGTGACAGAGAGTGAGACTCCAACTCAAAAAAAAAGACCAGCCTGGGCAACTTGGTGAGACACCATCTCTACAATAAAAATTTTTTAAAAATTAGCCAGGCATGGTGGCATGCACCTGTCGTTCCAGCTACTTGGAAGGCTGAGGCGGAAGGATTTCCTGAGCCCAGCAGGTCAAGACTGTGGTGGCCGGGAGCATGCCACTGCCCTCCAGCCTGGTGACAGAGTGAGACTCCTACTCAAAAATAGAGGCAGGACTTTGAGGAGGTGATTAGGGCATGAAAACTAGGCCCTCACAAAAGGCATTAATGCCCTTATAAAAGAGGACTGAGAGAGCCTGGTTTTCCCTTCTGCCATGTGAGGACACATGGAAGTACCATCTTTGAAGCAGATAGCAAGCCCTCACCTCAAGCTGGCACCTTGATCTTGGACTTCCCAGGCCCCATTGCGAGCAATAAATTTCCGTTGTTTATAATTACCCAGTCTAAGGTATTTAGTGATAACAGATCAAACGAACTGAGACACTTACCACATGCAAAAATTATCAAAATGGATCAAATACCTAAACATAAGAGCTAAAAGTATATAATGCTTAGAAGAAAGTAGGTCAAAAGTTTCATGGCATAGTATTTAGCATTGATTTTTGGATATGACACCAAAGACATAGACAGCAAAAGAAAATATACACAAGCAGGACTCCATAAAAATTTAAAACTTTGGTGCAATGGGCACCAGCAACAAAGTGAAAAGACAACCTATGAAATGGGGAAGTATATTATCAAACAATATATCGAATAAGAGGTTAATATCCAGAATACATACAGTTAATCAAGTTCAACAAGAAAACAAACAACTAGATTAGAAAATGGGCAACGGATTTAAGGAAATGAGTAAAGAATAGACATTTCTCCAAAGAAGATATAAAAACTGTCAATAAGCAAATGAGAAGATGCTCAGCATCACTAATCATTAGGGAAATGCAAATCAAAACAAGATACCACCTCACATCCATTAGGATGGGTACTATCAAAAAAAGAAAATACCAAGTGTTAACAAGGACGTAGAGAAATTGTAACCCTTGTGCACTGCTGGGTTGGAATGTTAAGAGGGTACAACTGCTGTGGAAACAGCATGATGGGTCTTCAGAAAATTAAAAACAGAATAATTATAGGATCCAGCAATTCTTCTTCTGAGTATATACCCAAAAGAATTGAAAGTAGGATCTCAAAGAGATATTGTATCACATATTCATGGCAGCATATGCATGATAATTAAAACATGGAAGTAACTTAGGTGTCCATTGGTAATGAATAGATATACACAATGTGGTATATACATACAAGGGAATATGATTCAGCCTTAAAAAAAAAAGACATTCTGCCAGGCGCGATGGCTCAAACCTGTAATCCCAGCACTTTAGGAGGTGAAAGCAAGAAGACTGCCTGAGCCCAGGGGTTCGAGACCAGCCTGGGCAACATGGCAATACCTCATCTATACAAAAAATCAAAAATTATCTGAGCATGGTAGTACACACCTGTAGTTCCAGCTACTTGGAAGGCTGAAGCGGAAGGATCACCTGAACTCAGCAGGTCAAGACTGCAGCAGCTGTGAACATGCCACTACACTTCAGCCTGGAAGACAGAGTGAGACTCTGACTTAAAAAAAAAAAAAATTCCAACATACGAGGTCTGACAATTAAGTTTGTGAACTTGCCACCATGCGCTTACGCTGGCAACACTGTATAAACAACTCAGTAAGGTTTCATAATCTTGTTACATCAGTGTCTTACAGCTGTGTTCGTGCTGACGTGTGGTGCTGTCTTGCTGAGTGGTATTCAAATTATTGTTGCTGCATGTTTTTGCATGCCATTGCAAGAATGTCAGAGCTTGAAGTAGACCAATGAACCAACATTATGCCATGAAGAAAACGGTAGTGTACAAATGGATTAAATGTTTTTCTGAGGGGAGATAGTCACCAATGAAGAAAGGTCAGGACAGTCAGTAATAAGCAGAATTGATGAAAACATTGCAAAAATTAATCAAATTGTATGTCAAAATTGTCAGCTGATTGAGAGAAGCATAGCAGACCAAATAAACAGGAAAATCTTTTTTTTTTTTTTGAGTTGGAGTCTCACTCTGTCACCCAGACTGGAGTGCAGTGGCCGCTCCCGGCAAACGCAGCCTCGACCTGCTGGGCTCCGGTGATCCTTCCGCCTCAGCCTTCCAAGCAGCCAGAACTACAGGCATGTGCTACCATGGCTAATTTTTTTTATTTACTGTAGAGACAAGGTCTCGCCAAGTTGCCCAGGCTGGTCTTGAACTCACAGGCTCAGGCAATCCACTCACCTTGGCCTACCAAAGTTCTGGGATTACAGGATGAGCCACTGAGCCCAGCCCAGGAAAATCTTAACTGAAGATCTTGGCATGAAAGGTGTGTACAAAAATGGTCCCGAAGGAGCTCTTACATCACAACAATACACCAGCTCACTCAGCACTGTCTGTGAGGGAGTTGTTTTTTTTTTTTTTTTTTTAGTGCACGCCCGTGGTTCCAGCTACTTGAAAGGCTATGTGAGGGAGTTTTTAGCCAGTAAACAAATAACTGCATTGGAACACCCTCCCTACTAACCTGATCTGGCCCCCAATGACTTTTTTTCTTTACCCAAAAGATAAAGGAGATATTGAAAGGAAGATATTTTGAAGACATTCAGGACATTGAGGGTAATACAACAACAGCTCTGATGGCCATTCCAGAAAATGAGTTCCAAAATTGCTTTGATAGATGGACTAGGTGCTGGCATCAATACATAGCTTCCCAAGGAGAGTACTTCAAAGGTGACCATAGTGATATTCACCAATGAGCTATGTAGCACTTTTTGTAGAATGAGTTTGCGGATTTAATTGTCAGACCTCATATACTACAACATGGATAAACCTTGAGAACATTAAACTAGGTAAAATAAACCAGTCACGAAAAGATAAATGCTGAATGATGCTACTTATGTGAGGTACCTAAAACAACCAAAATCATAGAAAAAAAAGTAGAATGATAGTTGACAAAGCAGGGGGGAAGAGAAATGAGTTATAGTTTAATGGGTACAGAGTTTGTTTTACTATATGAAAAGAGTTCTGGAGACAGATGGTGGTTTTGATTGCATAGCAATATGAATGTACTTATTATCACTGAACTGTACAATTAAAAATCATTAAAGTAGTAAGTGTTAGGTTATGTGTATTTTACCACATTTTTTTTTAAAGCTAGGTACGGTCCAAGAACTCTGGGCTATAAAAAGACACAGCTAGTTCAAACTCCAAACACTCTCTAACAATGTCTTTCCTTGGAATGTCTCATATTCATATTCATACACTAAGTTTGTTTTTGACCTTTCACCCTTGTTTCCTAAATACACTAAATTTTAAAAGTTAACTTTTTTTTGAGTCAGAGTCTCACTCTGTCACCCAGGTTGGAGTGCAGTGGCACACTCGTGGCCACCACGGCCTCAACCTGCTGGGCTAGGTGATTCTCCCACTTCAGCCTTCCAAGTAGCTGGAACTACAGGTAGTGCCAGTTAATTTTTCTTGCTTTATTATAAAAATGAGGTCTCGCCAGGTTGCCCAGTTTGGTCTCGAACCCATGGTAAGTTAAACTTTTTTTTTTTTTTTTTTGACTTGGAGTCTCACTCTGTCACCCAGACTGGAGTGCAGTGGCCACTTCCGGCCACTGCAGCCTCGACCTGCTGGGCTCCGGCGATCCTTCCACTCAGCCTTCCAAGTAGCTGGAAATACAGGAGCGCGCTACCACGCCCAGCTAATTTTTTGATTTATTGTAGAGACAAGGTCTCACCAAGTTGTCCAGGCGGGTCTCGAACCCGCGGGCTCAGGCAATCCACTCACCTCGGGCTCCCAAAGCGCTGGATTACAGGCTGAGCCACCGAGCCCAGCTGGTAAATTAACTTTTAAAAAGTAAAAGTGAATAAGTAAAAAACTACAGAATGTAATGTCCCTGACTTGTATCAAACAGAAAACAAACAAACAAAAACCTAAGTTAGTGATTACTTGGTTATGCTTAATATTCACTTTTCAGGACTGGTGGCATTGAACAGACAGGTTACCCATTCCAGACAGAAAGTATAGCATTTGATATAGTAGGTTCAATGGCTTCTGTTTACATGCTACCTTTTCAACCTGATCATAGCTCTGTCGGTCCCCATACAGATGGAAACACACTGACTTACCCAGTTGGTTATTTCAGGCCTTTTACACTTATCAGTACAAAGAATAGCTACAAAATTGATTGTTCCCTTCCGTCGCCCTTTATAGACAACAGTCTTGCTTCCTCTTCCAATCTCCTCATACAGAATAAAGTTTTCCATCTCTGGGCCGACTTCTCACATAAGATAAAACATCTCTAGCTCCTAGAAAATAATCAGAAATGACACTTACAATGCAAGCTAGCAGTATAATTAATTAGCCTATGATAACTAGTCTAGGGTATCTGATATATAAATAAATAACAATTCCATAAATTAACTTAAAAGTACTGGACACTAATGTTGATCTTTTTGTAAGATGAACACAGCTAAGGGAGAAATAAGTAAAAGAAGCAATTCACAAATCAATATTCAATTTCCTATCAACAAATCTTTTTAAAAAATAACAAAATCAGGATGAATTGGATTTTAGCCAATATATCTCCATATTTTTCTTTCTCTATTACAACAGAAACCTGGTAAAATAGAAAGCACAACATCTGTACAACATGATAATATATGCCTCACCTAAACCTTATAAATTATGAGAAGCAAACAAAAAAACATGCGAAAATACTTCACTGTAAAAGCAAATATGGTATGATACTAGTTCCACCTAATCCCTAGGGATTGAAATATCATTACATATCACATGGGTCAGCAAAATATTGGCTCATGGCCAGGCATGGTGGCTCACACCTGTAATCACAGCACTTTGGGAGGCCAAAGTGGGAAGACCACTTGAGGCTGAGTTTGAGAACAGCCTGAACAACATAGCAAGACTTCACCTCAACAAAAATGTTTTTAAATCAGCCAGTTGTGGTGGTACACAGTTGTAGTAGTCCTAGCTACTCAGGAGGCTGAGGCAGGAGGTTCACTTGAGCCCAGAAATAAGGTTGAGACTGCAGTGAGCCATGACTACAACACTGCACTCCAGCTTGGGGTAACAGAGTGAGTACCTGTCTGTACAAAAAATAAAATATAATGAAAAATACCATCTTATAGGCCAAATCACACCAGCTGCTTGTTTTTGAAAACAAAGTTTAATTGTAACATAGTCATACTCATTCATTTATATATTGCCTATGGCTGCTTTAGACCACTATATACTGCGTACGACAGAGTTGCATAGTTGTAACAGAGACTCTATGGCTTGCATAAACTCTAAAATATTTACTATCTTGCACTTTATAGAAAAAGGCTGCCAACTCCTGCTGTAAATCCAGATTTTTTTTTAAACCAAGTACTTCATCCTTCATCTAAGGCACAGGCAGTTAAATGAATTCATTTTCTTATCCAATATAACCCTTTTTTTTTTTTTTTTTTTGAGTTGGAGTCTCACTCTGACGCCCAGGCTGGCGTGCAGTGGTACACTCATGGCCACCTCAGCATTAACCTGCTGGGCTCAGGCGATCCTTCCACCTCAGCCTTCCAAGTAGATGGAACTACAGGTGCACACTACCACGCCCAGCTAATTTTTTGATTTATTGTAGAGATGAGGTCTCACCACGTTGCCCAGGCTGTTCTTGAACCTGTGGGCTCAGGCAATCCACTCACCTTGGCCTCTCAAAGTGCTGGGATTACAGGCTTGAGATACCATGCCCGGCCCAACATAACCCTTTAAATTTTACAAGTAAATAAGGACTTGGTATAATCTTTTATCAGACTAGATTTTATTTGGAATTTAAGTAAAAAAGTGGCATTAGTGTCTTAAACAAAATATTTACAACAATATAATCTAAGTATTTACTCAACTAAAATCAGTCTTTCATAAACTAGCATCTCTTTAAGAAAATTACACATTAGACTACAGAAAAATTCCCACAAATTCACAATGCATGTGTATATCAAAACAGCACATTGCACAACTTACATAATTCTTCATAATTTTCTCACTCATGTGCTTTCCCAGAAACCACAGTTTAGTTTTCCTCATTTTTCAAACATGCGGTGAGCTTTTTAAGTCTCTTCATCTATAAGTTCACCTAAGAAGCATGTCAGAAGCCAGAAAGCAGGGTAAAACACACACACAAATGAGGTATTTAATATGCAGGGGGAGCAAGTCCTATATTCAACAAACTCTGATACAGCCCAGGTGATACAAGCACACAGGTCAAAACCAGAACTCTCCCCTCAATCATCCCAACTTTCACCAAGATCATGGACTCCTGCACCAGCAGCATCAGCATCATCCGGGAACATACCAGAAATGAAAACTCTCTCCTACTTAACCCCATACACAAAAATCAACTCTAAATGGATCAGAGACCTAAACATAAAACCTCAAACTGTAAGAATCTTAGAAAATGCAGGAGACACCTTTATGGAAATTGGAACTGGCAACCAATTCCTGATTAAAACCCCAAGTGCCCATGCCATAAGAGATAAGATAGACAAGTGGGACCTCATCAAACTGACAAGCTTCTGCAAAGCCAAAGAAACCATCAAGAGAGTAGGGAGACAGCCCACAGACTGGGAAAAAATATTTGCCAACTCTTATGTCTGATAAAGGCCCAACATCCAGGATCTCCAAGGAACTGAAACACACTGAAAAGAAAAAAACAAACAGCCCCATTACAAAGTGGGCAAAAGATATGAACAGACACTTCTCAAAAGAAGACATAGGAGCAGCCAACAGATACATGAAAAAATGCTCAGCCTCACTGCTCATCAAAGAAATGCGAATTAAAACTATACTGAGATATCATTTAACTTCAGTAAGAATGGCCATCATCAATAACTCAAAAAATAACAGATGCTGGAGAGAATGTGGCGAAAAGGGAACACCTCTACACTGTTGGTGGGAGTGTAAACTAGTACAGCCTCTGTGGAAAACAGCGTGGCAATTCCTAAAAGCTGCAAAAATCGACCTTCCATATGACCCCACAATCCCCCTACTGGGAATATACCCGAAAAACCTCAAATCACTCTATAAGAAAGATACCTGCACATGTATGTTTATCACAGCATTGTTCACAATAGCAAGAACATGGAACCAACCGTGCTGCCCATCAAAAGAGGACTGGATTTAAAAATGTGGTACAAGTCGGGCTCTGTGGCTCAGCCTGTAATCCCGTGGTTTGGGAGGCTGAGGTGAGTGGATTGCCTGAGCCTGCAGGTTCGAGAACCACCTGGGCAACTTGGCGAGACCTCATCTCTACAATAAATCAAAAAATCAGCCGGGCATGGTAGCGCGCGCCTGTAGTTCCAGCTACTTGGAAGGCTG